TCCGCGCGGTGCGACGGTCGTTGGGCCGGTGACCGCGCGGAGCGGTGGCCGGCCAAATGGGAAGGGTCTTTTTCTTGGGGCCTGGAGGGCCCAAGATGGCCCAAGGATTCTTATGGTGGGATTTGAGATGCAGAACCCCTCCAATTAGCAGTGAGGCAACTTATCAGTTGGCGAATTTTCACCTGGAGGGATGGAGAATAGCCCGGAATATTTCACGGAATCCCAGAACCTGCCAATTTATCAGCATGTTGAGAAACATGGAGAACACCTCCAAGTGCAAGGGATAATCAAAAGACCCGGTGTATTGCTTGATTCGTGGTCAAATCGCCATTGCAAAGATGTGGACAGAACATGGTGGCAATACAATTGATTCAACTATGTGTGTATATGTGTGTTGCATTTAAAGGTTCATTTGCTCATACGACTTGCGCATTTCATTCCTACTGAAACTTCAACTTTGTTCAACATCTTTAGCGCCAAGAGACAGCTCTGCCTCATCATATCTGGTCTCTGTTGACACCAGAACCCGCGGGTTCGACCTGGACTACGCTGCATGACCTTCATGTGCGTCTCGCGTAATTTTGAAGGCAACTTTGATCAATACTATTATGTCACACAAATTTCCATGATCCGCACTTGTCATGCACCCTGCTTGCCTTCTTGATCTGTCCGCCACGCGTCTTCGAACCGCCACATGGGGAACCGGTCGCCAATGACCCGACGACGCGAGCGCGGAGCGCGACGCGCGCCGCGACCTCGTCGCCAGGTAGCTGAAAGGCCCGGAGGATCTCCTGCGGCGGAGTGCGTGGCTTTTCGGGTCTGTAGCTGAGCCGGTGAGTGGGGTGAGTGGCGAACACGTAACATCTCACCACGAAGTCGGAACGGTAGCTTCGAACATGACAGACGCGGCCCTTGGTTCTTTTGCTATATCAAAATAGGTACTTGATGGTACTTCTATATCATGTTCGGAGGTACGAACCTGAGACTCCAGGTAGTGGCAAAGGTGCTGGTGGTGAATGGGTTTTAAGAGATTGTTCGAATGACCTCTTTTTAGGGACTTCCAGGACTGCAGTGTATTCAGGGTTGAATCAGGGTCCCCGGATAATTGGATGATTCATTGGAGATGGCAACATAGTTCGTCCAGGACTCTGCACAAAAACAAAACAAAGGACGTTGATTGAAGATATTTGAGATTCTCTTGGCTCAAGAGCAAAGTCACCGGAGTCTTCGTACCGCGAAAGCAACTTCTTGGACCTTACTGTCGGGGTGTGAAACATGGATATCCATAGGTATCCATCGGTAGTGTAGGGATGTGTAGGGTAGTCCATGGGAGACCTTGTAAGGCATGTGCTGGTACATACTCCTCAGTCTCTTTGATAGCCAAATAGAAACGAATTCAACCGGGTTCACCGGTTTCCCCCTGTTCCACTATGAGCTTAACCCGTTCCTCTTCCACCTCTCTGTGTTTTTCGGACACACTCCCGTCCGCTTCGCTACAAGGGACCGCACCTGCCCCGGTGAATCGACCGGTTCAACCGTTGAAATGGTCCCATTCGTCGACCGAAATGGCCTCCCCCTTTCCACCGGGGGTTTGGGAACAACCATTTGGGGAGAATTAGGTACTGTGCTACATCATCCATGCTTGTGTGGTGGAGTTAGTAGCTTCTTTGTGTGTAGCTCTTTGAGATCCACATCAAGAAAGACCCTCTTCACCTCACCTCACAGCATTCCCTCTTCGCCCGACAGCTCCCCCTGTTTGCTCCGACACCCAAGACGCGGACGACTGCAGTTGTCTATGCTGCAAGTTCACTGGCTACGGCTAGCTCGAGAACGGCTTAAAAAACCACGAAAGTAAAGACCATTGATTGGTTTGATTCGTGTGGATACCAGTTTTTGCGGGGGAATGGTTCACAAAGAAACATGCAGTGGAAGTACCCGAAGTCAACTGTGCAAATCCACTGTGGGCCCATGTGTATTGCGAGATCTCCCTTCAGTGGAGTATCTCCCTTCACCTATAGCATCAACTTCAGCCTGAGTAGCAGTATTTAAAGATCAGACTAGGGCGCATTGAGCATCATATTCAGTGGCAGTGGTGCAATCAACTTGGCCAATGCGAATCTTTACCTGCAGCGCTGCAGGTAAACGCCAGTAGGTCCAAATGGTGCAGAGGTCAAAACCAAACAGTTTGCTTTCTACTGTTCATGAGAGAAATGTCTGAGCACAATTAACGCCATTAAGTATCTGTCTCAACGCAAATCCAACAGCACAAAAGGTAGAACGAGTTTGTATCCAAAAGACATGGGTTGCAGGAAGTTGTAAAGGAACTTTTCAACATGCATTGAAGCATATCTCGCGAAATCTCAATGAGCCGGCCCCACTGCAAATAAGGTATTGCACGATGTTGGACAATGACACATACTCGAGCCACTAGAGAAGCTACCCTCAGTGAAACAAACAAAGGAAACTGACAGGAAGACTCAGCAAAAAAGACGAACGGACTCCCCTGACGGCGGAGTGGAGTCCCTTCAAGCAAAGAGGTCTTCTTCCCCTCAATTCAAACACTTCTTGGCCTAAACTAACACTCGGCTGGTGGTACACAAGTTTGTTTGGCCAACTTGTCAGCTTCCATGTGTCTTGTGGGAGGGTAGGTAACTATGTTCCACTGATTCTTGGCGCATTCACCGCCAGGCATCGGAGAAAAACATAGAGGAGAACTGGCACGTTGCCGCCACGGACGAGTCATGTAACGCCGTGCTGTTGATGGATGGTTGCCAGCAATAGGGGCAGTGTCTCTGTTTGGCAAGGACTCTTGCCTTTTCAAAATATGTATATGATATATATATATATATATATATGTCAGGACCCTCCAGCAAACTGTTTGGAGACCTTGACAGGTGGTTTCTGGGCACCTGTTGTCACCAGGAAGCACCTGTTGGAGGGTGCTGGTATAGACGATCATAGACGAAGAAGGTCGGATGTTGGACGAATGGTTTCCGATGGATCCACTGCCCTCCGAGAGGGGGTAGGACCTGAGACACTAGGACTGGAACGTAGGACTGGATCCTGGATGGAGTTGTTGAGAAATATGGCCCCCAGCTGTGAAACAGCTTGTTCTTTCTTTTCTTGGTGGACTTCACTTCATCTGGCCAAGTCAATGCTAGTAAGCTCAAGAAGCCGAAGCCTACGCAATGGCCAGGGGTTGCCCGTGCCTTAAATGAATTCATTGTCCCAATGAGGTTCGAATGGGTAGATTCAGCATTCCTATTGATAAAGCAACTTGGTGTGGGCAAGAAAAAACACAGCGGCTTCTACAAGTAGTTACTTTGATGCACTGCCAACATGAGTGCCAAGTTCTCCTCCAAGGCACATGAGTCACAGGTGCCAAACCCAGGACCCTCGGACCACCAATCGAGTCTCACTCTTGCATAAACCAGGGATGGATGGTTGTGCAATGTTGTCTGCCCTCCTCTCGTACCCAAAGACTGGAGCCGATTCTGGAGTGCCAAGGACTGGCACTTGAACCTTCCCTTAATGTCATCCTCAAAGCTCTCGACGCTGTCGTCTTCGGCACTCGCCCAGAAAAGCAAAAAGAACTACCATATGGGTGCATCGTGGGGCATACTAGGGTGGGATGGTACCATGTTTGGTCGACATCCCTTACAAAGGGTCATCCATTTGACCCTGCCATGCCACCAGAGTAGTCAGGTCCTGCCCTCTCTGATTCTCTGAATGTTCCAAGACCAGCTCCCAACTAGCCGTCTTCAATACCAAACTGCCTGGCATTTGTATTTTGGTGAAGATTGGATTAAGAATAAGGTAAGTCCTTCTACAAAGAGGCCCAAGGCAAATTGGAGTTGCTTTGCGTAAGTTAAGGAACTGGACAGACTGTTAAAACTCTCAAAGGATTAAACAAACCATAACAATACCAGGCTCGTTCCAACGCTCTGTTTCCTTTGAAAAACACCATGGAACTGAAACCCTAAAAGGTGGAGCCATCATTTCGCACCAGGTCCACGGCTTCGAAACACACTGGAGTCGCCGTTTCTGACCGTTTCACCCAAAGTTCTGCCTAGACCCTCCACCAGTTCGTACCCTAGAAAATGGAACATGACCATGACCCTATTAAAACAGGTACTGTGCTCGTATCAATTGTTAGAAATGCTTTGAAGGTTCATACCAAACATGTATTGGAGCTTTGACATGCACCTGGTTCATTGCAGCTGGATGTTCAAATCTCAACCCTCTTGTTGGTCCAACAACCGCCTCGGGAGGCGGTGCGTGGACGCCGATCCTCTGCGCGGCCGATCGGTCACCTGGCTGCGATCCGTGTCCGATCCAGGCAGCGATGCGTTGTTGGAGCACCCAAAACCCCAGCGACCCGATGGAGGATCAATGCTTGGAATCCGACAAATGGACCAACATGAGCTGACCCTTTCCTTGAAGAAAAAGAACTTCTGCAACCCTGTTCACCCAACTGAGAAATATACTCAGAAACTGAACAAATGGACCAACTTCCCAGGCCCAGGCCGACCACTCAGAAACTGCATGTCAACACCGTCCAGTTCACAGGGTCCAAACAAGTTTCCCCCCAGAAGTTGTGGATAATGTAGACTCTTGATTCATAAACCCACCCATTTGAATACACGGACTTGTGGACGGTCTGTCATGTCGCGCGCGCCCACGCCCCCCTTGCCCAGGTTGTCTAGGAGGTTGAACCCCGGAACTCCTCTTCATATGGTAGGCTTATTCATCCTAGAGTCTACATTATCCTTCCGAAAACCAACATGAACCCTGACGTCATGGCTCATGGCTCCCTGGAGGATTGCTTTTCCTCTACCAACCGACGTGCGCCCCTAACAGGATCATGGGACTCGTCTTCAGTGTCTGTCTTCATCCCCACCGTCATCGGGGCAGTACCATGGTCCTTGCGCCACTGGTCTTCCGCCCGAAGAAAAGAGGAAAAGCGCGTGAGCACCTCGTGAGCTCACCGAAAACGCGAACTAGTTCTCCTCCTCTTCCACCTCTCCCGCATCCAGAGACATCCGCAAGATCCTGAGAAAAGCCCCACCCGGGAGACCGACTGGGTACGACCGGGACCTAGACGACATGGTGGACCAGTCGTTGACATGGTGGACCAAACCTACCAGGTTGAACGACCCATTCCCATTACAAGTGCTTGTCACGGGTGAAATTGGCCCGGTTTCTGGGTGTGGTTTCTGGGTTTCAGGCACGCATGCTCATGTTCAACGCTACAAGCTGAGACTTCAGGCGCTTCAGGTGTATTTGAACGGCTTCCCGTGGAATGAATTAAGGCCAAGAGGTGGAGCAATATGGACAAAGCCATTGACAATAATAGCAATTGACATATAGACTCTAGACTGATGTAAATAGCAGTGTGTTGAGTTCTCTATATAGATACCTAGCATAGACACCTTAGATGTCTCTTCCCCTAGGTCACACAATAGCTTAGAATGTCAAACACACAAAATGGTAGATATTCTTCTCATAGTAAGAACCATCAGAATTCTCCAGTTCCCACTGTTCTGAGATCATCCTTTTAAAAGGCAGCTCCTTTGGCTTTGGAGAACAGCTTGGGGAACTGCTAGCAGCTTCGGATGACACGAGTCACGTGTTCTTCGTTCTCAAGCTGTTTCGCCTCAGCCTCAGTACAACGTTTAATCCTATCATATCATAACTGGATCTCTTTCCCCTACCATTCAGGAGTGTTTATGGTTTCTTACAGGTCACTCACAAATGTGGACAACACCAGAAACTTATCCGCGTTCATAAGAAACTATAAACTATTATAAACTGCTATTGAGTTCCTGAACGGCCACATGGACCAGTGCCTATGTTGGTCTTCGCATTTTGACTTGTTTGACTCAAGAAGTGGGTAGTGATGACTCCCTGGACTCGGACGTGAAAGCCCGCTGCTCAAGAGAGCGACTTGATGCAGCTTCATGTGGACGAAACATGATAAAACCACCCTCATATTGGAAGAGGTTGGAACCATCCATGTCTGGGCCTTTGATTCATCAAGAGTCTATATGACATCCAGCAGCAACGCCAACCACGCATCTTCGCCCAAGGCTCTTGAGGCAGCTGTAGAAGTTGTCGCGGACGTCCGAGTCCTGCGGGAACTTTGTCGTCACTCCGACCCCAAATAGAAGAGGGACATGTTGCGCCAGCTTTGCTCAGGTTGAGACATATATATCCGCCACCAAAACACCCATGTCTATCCATTTAACATCCATGTCTATCCAGCCACAGCCAGGCTGCGCTTCACTTCAGAAGCTCGTTTTCAGCCGCGCAGTCGCGCCCCAGAACGCGCAGAACACCGCCGAAGAAGCGCGCCGACCGAAAGCGCGCAGCGCTGCACCGCGCAGCGCTTGTGCGGCGCGCTTGCCGCGCGGCCGCACGGTTCTTCAGATGTCCGGGCTCTCCTGGAACTGAAAGCACAGCCGGAAGTCCCTCTCCGTGCAGAAATCCACCGCCAGGCAGCGGGGCGACAGATGTGCCAGGCTGGGGACCTGATCAGCGGCACCGGTGAGAGGGGGCGCACACCCGAAAGCAACCAACACCAAGTACTGGAGACATGGAGTGACTTCAAAAAGAAAACAGTGGCTTTGGACAGGATTGGTGTTGTTGATTTGTTTGATTTGCATGAATGTTCGTATACAAGCATGTTGGAGTCTCAGCCTGAACCAACGGAACCGACCGTGTTTTTCCGTCCGTGTTGCGTCGTTGCTTCGATCGATTGGAACCGTGGCGAAAACGTCGCAGGCCACAGGAAAGCGGTTTTTTTGTGGCCCAAAGCCTGCAAGTTAAGGGATCTCTCATAGACATCTCGTTCCTGGCAGGACCCTTCAGTTGCATTTAACTAAAAGGTATATCTTCACATGTCTTTCTAATTGATGAAAAGGCATACGCTTTTCACAGTTTGGAAGATCCAATGGGATGGACTCGTTCACCCCGACGAGTTTGTAAACTTGGAGCACTGCGACACCATGCGATTGGGGGCCTCACAATATGGACGTGATCCTCTCAAAAGGGCAGGTCCACGTGGGTTCTAGGAACATAGAAATGATTCATGACATTACAAACATATAGGAACTGGACATCTGTTTTCTTTTTGATGCCAGGCTCCACACTGCTCCCCAATGCTCCACAACCAAAAACAAACACAGCAAGAACTCCGAGTTTTCACTAGTGTCAAGTCTTGCTCCTCTATTAGTATTGGCTCACATTGGCTTTCCAAGTTCATTATGTTCACTCAGGATTTACACTAACCTCAGGTGACTATATAGGAGAAATGTGGTTTCTGAGATAGGTAGTAGTTACGTCTACAAGTCCTGACACATTGTGGCACCAGTCATTGTGTAAATCCCAAGCTTCTGGACGCCTATAGAAAAGAAAGCGTGTCACCAGACTATCTGAAAAAATACTTAACTGTGAACCAGTCGCCAGTAATTCCTATCCGTCAACAAATATCAGGCACCAGTTACTATCAATTAATTGGCTCACCTGAGTGGTCTGAACTCGGCATCCAGACCAAGTTGGTGAACTCTTTGTCACGAAAAATGGCGATCATGTCTTGCATCCGGTAGTACCGGTGCTCCTCCGGCAGCTTCAACGAGACGCGCTTCAGCGTCCTGCAATCACGTTGGAGGAAAATCCGCGGGTTTCTGCAGGTGTGCATTGCAATCTGCTCCTTTTGATTGGTTTCAAACGAAGAATACTAGTGACTTGGATTCATCACCTCAAATGAAGGTTTAACAAAAAAACAAACCTCTGTGTTCACCATCCTCAGCACAATGTCCCTCAAACGGTCTCTCTACTTCAACCCTTAAGTGGAACACTGCAAACAAAGAGTTATAGACTCCTAAACCCCACGCATCGTATACAGTAGGTGGACAAGTGCCATAATATACCACCGTGACATGCTTTTTGCTTCCCAACCACGTTTGCCATGCGTAGAAGCAACCCGTTGGACACCGACTCCGGTCGAACCCGTCGAACGGCTTCACCTTCGCACCCGAGCGATCGGACGTGCCTGTCCAAGTAGAAAGTGGCTATGACAACATGGCCCGAGTCCTCCAAGCTGTGAGGACACCAAATGTGTGGGGCGGTGTTCTGGGGACAGGCTGATCCAGCTGTTGATTTCATGAAACTGCAAAAGAAAACAGCTAGAATGTGTGTTGCAAATTGATCTATAGTATTATATATTATGTCCCAAGATTATGTTATTTCTTATATTTATAGTACTTATATACTAGTTTAAGTATTTGTATTGTATTATATTGTATCATATGATATGATATTGTACTGCGACGTTGCATTGTATAGGATCCCCATCCACTTGGTCCTCTTCGAGGAGCTCCACGGGCATTCCAGTCATAGCCTCCTGCGGGTCTCCGCACTTGGTCTGTCTTAGCACTGGGAAGGATGGGTTGTGGCAACCTCTTCCAAGCATCGCGCGATATACAATCCATGAAACACCTGCCTGAACCTTCAAAGCATTGCTCAATGGAGGCCCACAAGTAGTGTAGGGTAGTCCATTGGAGACCCCATAAGGATAGGTTCTTTCCTCATTAGGATTGTTTGTCTCTCGGGGTCAAAAAACATCCCAACATATCTTCTGCAGCTTTAGCAAAATGATTTTAGGGGGTGAAGAAGCGTGGCGGTCGGGCAGTTCTGATTCGTATATGATTTATCATGATTTATACATGTGTCCGCCGATCTTGCTTCCTGGAATGATCTTCCCAAGGCCGTGAGAATCCTGTAGGACCGTCCCCAGTGACTCACCAATATTTACTCGTCACCCTAACCCTAAGCCTAGCTAGCTATACCTATATATAGAACATTGAGTGACCCTCAAAGACTGAGTGACCCCCTGAAAGACGGGAGCCCAAACATGGTCTTTGCCTATCAAAAACAACTGGTTCAACCTGGGTTCGGGGTCTCAGTTTGCACCTCGAACCACGGCGTTACCCATTCTGCGCCACGGGAACACACGTGGCCACGGAGACCATTTTGGTATTTGAAGTCTGGTCCGGATTTCACCTTCCCAAGGGATCCCGGATACCTTCTTAGAAGGTGTTTGGGGTCTGACACCTGCCTGAGCAGGTTTTGGCTCCGGACCCAACCTCAGCAAAAGTAGGAATTTAACGCGGACATGGTTTTCACAAAAAATCAATGGTAACCAAAATTGACTCATCTTCCGGACATGTTCCCTCACCAAGGGGTTTTAACCACAGTCTTCCCCCAAAATCATCTATGGTTGCCATCTCGAATGTGGTGTTCCCTCACCAAGGCATCTTGTGCCACCAATTCTTGTTCACCAATTCTTGTTCCTGCCACCCTCCAGCAGCCCGCCGTTTTCACATGCTCACCACGTGCTCACGCCAACGGCGAGCTCGCCACCAAGCGCGGCAGCTCAGTTGGCATGGGAGGTCTCATTGAAGGTCTGCAAGCTCCCAGCAGCACAGAACCTGAGATGTGTCAGCGCAGCTGACTACAAGTTGATGTTCATGGATGTTTAGTGTCGAGTCTGGGATGGGCTCAAAGGGTCTATAAGAGAAGGCACTTCAGCCGCCGAGGTGAGGAAAACGCTAGATCGATCCAGGGCTCCAAGTACAAAGGTGTAGCGTAGTAGTTCTAGGGCTCCATGTTATAAGGAGGTGTTTTGAGGTGGGTTTGACGTTTGGAGGGTCTTTTTATACGTGCTTGAAGCCCTAGCGAAGGTAGTGGTAGTAGTAGTCGTCGTCGTCGTAGTAGTAGTAGTCATAGTAGTAGTAGTAGTAGTAGTAGAAGAAGTACGTATCAGAAGCCAAGAAGCCCCATGAACCAGGCTTGTAGACTACCCTGTTCGACACCTTTAGATTTTGTAGTGCAACCAACCGGCCAACGAAGTCCTCCACGTGCCACCCAGCGGCGAACCGGTGGTTGATGACTCAGCTGATCAACAGTACTGGTCTGATGAACAGTTTGGTCCGAACTTTGTGGTCATGGTTGATCAACACAGTGCTACCACATTACATACCCACAAAACATTTCTAGACCATAGGGCTCCAAGTGCCCTATAGATCGATCAACATCCTTTTGGGGTGTTTGAAGGTTAAAAATATGCGCTAGCAAGTTGAGGAGGCACTTGGAGGCCTATAGGGCAACTGTTTGCACCAAAACACGGTCATCGATCTGAGCCTGACAGACCTCTTGCCAAGCCTGAGAAGTAGCTGTTTTGAAGAAAGAACAACCGGTTCATATCCACCTTCAGGGTATCCTATACCAGTACTGCCAATTGTGCTTGGGCTGGTTCTCCTCAAAGTGAAGAAGGTCTTGATGCCATTGTAGATTGCCAAGCCACAAGCCTAATAGTCGATCATTGTTCATCGATATCGTATCGATAACCTCCAATGTCTCCAATCAATGCAATGCATTGTGAACAAACATGAACAAACATAATTCACCCCGAGTAACGCTCAGTCGGAACTTGAGGGGACGATCCACAGCCATCCCACCATCGAGAGGGGTCGCGATCAACGCCACCGCGCTCGCACTCGCACGGGCGCCAGGAGTGAGCTCGTGAGCAAGTCGTGGCAGCTACGGGCGGACGACGACGTCAAAAGTCCAACCATCTCACCCCCTGAACCATCCATGTACATGTCTACAGATGCATCTATATCCATGATTTCAGAACTCCCATGAACGCTAGCGACACTCCAGGGCGCACCACGTAGTGCCGCATCCCTTCCAAGGCCATGGCTAATCGATTCGATGGTCTGGCGGATTAAAACATGTACGTTTGTAAGTCCATGTGGTCCACATGAGATGGTTGGCGTTTGGTGGCTAAGCTTATATAGTGTACCAGAAAACGTTCAGGCTCGTGAAAAAAGGGCATGTGAGCCAGAACTTGCTGAGCACGCGCCCAGGGTCCAGACCCAACCTCAGACAACCTGCAGTTCGCTCAGAAGATGAAATTCCGGATACCTTCTCAGAGATGCTCTGGAGGACAAGGGCTTTGTACAGTCCTCCACCATTGGAACCACACTCTTTGGACGCCCCTCCACCTCGAGCTTCGCCTCGCCTCGCCTCGTGCGCCGCGTCTCCGCCCACCCGGGGCCCGCGTCTCCGCGTCTCTTCCGTCCTTCACGAAGCTTCGGACGGCCATCTGCAGCCGAACCTGCGATCCCGGAGAGAAAGACCCCGTCGACCCGGTGAGACCGAGACAGGCCCGGCCCCCAGGTCAACGCTTGGTTTGACATTCGGCGTGGTTCGGAGCAAATCGACCCGGGGGAAGGTATCATGTTTGATCCCCTCCTGCGTACGTTCCGAGCTGCGCAGGCGGGACGGAGTTTGGACCGACCTCTCAAAGCGTCTTCAATAGCCAAAAGCCCAGAGTGTTCACTAGAAAACCCGTGTGTACATGGGGGGATACCTGGACCCACCAGTTGAGGTACATGGGACAAGAGCCCTAGATCAATGAAGACCAGGTCTGACTGCACATTCTCGAACCCAAGCACTCCATGATCATGATACTCCATGTATACTTCCATGTATATTTGCATACTTTGGGATTGTTTCAGGGGTCAATGTAGATTGTATTCCATACATGGAGTCTGGGCAAGGGACGGTGCAGGGAGCGTCCCACATTTTATCACTCGGTGGCTCAAGTGAGATCAGCCAGACAGGAAGACGCTCACAAACACAGAAAACTGTGTCTAGAGACGGCTAGAGTACACGGGCAAAACTTGTAAACGTCACGTCTCCGGAATTGTTACACAACAAATTCATGCTGATCATAACAAAACATACAAGATAATTCCTTGATTCTTGAAGGAAAGCGCTGCTTTCCAGCAAATTTTTGGTTGATATAGCCACTGGCGGATGCGCCAGGTGGACACCTGCACCTTCGAAACCAACTTCGGCGCCACTTCAGCGCCACTCTCTTCGCTTCGAAGAAGGGCCTTCTCCTGGTTCTCTGGAGTAAAGGTGGGCCCCATACACCTGGGCCATGGTGTTCGGCCGTTTCGGCCCCCCAAACCCGCCGACTCCGGACATGTCCTCCACCCCACCGGACGCTGCGCGCGCCACGGACCACAGGAAAACAGGCATACCTGGAGCCCAGAAACTCGGTGGTACCTTTAAACATGGGACATGACTATAGCAATAGGCCGGTACTTGTACTACAAGCAGCCATTTTCCGACATACTTTGAGACTCCAAGTATGAACAAGGGGTCCAGGTACAAAGGGTCGGGTTCCAAATGCAGGAGAACTCGGCGGATGTGGGGACCTCACGTTCCGAAGGAAGAGGAGGACGTTGCGTCATACGTAGGGTGTAGGGAGAAGTAGAGTCTTGCAAGAGGGAATTCGACACATCCATATATATATATATATGTCTCCACTTGCTAACAGAATGAGATAGAATGAGACCTGTGGTCTCCCATGAAGACTGGCAGCGATTGGCGGTCCTTGCCACAAGATAACGCCATCCTAATAGAGCTTTCACACCTAGTCTTTTTGTCTGTAGATTGCCAGTGGCACACATTGTGACTTTCGTGTATCTTTCAGTCATCGCCACAAGCAACTCTTCGAGGGTCCTACCATGAACAAGTATCCCAAACCTCCCCATCACAGCCATCCCCCACTGACCCCCCCGGGTCAGTTGTTCTGCCAGCCGAGCCTGACGGGTTCCAACGTTCGGCTCGGAGCGGCCTGTCCACGGAACGGCCGCTCCGATTCCGCGGCAATTGGGAAGGGCCGTCCAGCTGCTTCATCTGACAAGCAACGTGGGTGCATCTGTTTCACTCAATATAGAATACTCCTTTTTGCTGCTACCAGTGCACGTATATGGTCTAAATGTTGCTATTCCTGAAACAACTTCAAAGACTTGCACACCGCAAATCCACGCCTGCTGCAGATCATCTGGCGGCTCATCCTGTGCGAAGTTGTACGCCTCCGAAGGGCTTTTCATCGGAATGCATAGGAGGTCCAGCGATCTGAGTCCATCGGAGGAGCGCCAGTCCACTTGTCTCAGGTTACAGATGTTACAGGTTGCAAGATCACTGCAACAAACATCTCTAGAAGAAGCAGTATATGCATTAATTGTAATATACCCACTATATCCTATACTGTCCATCAACAAAAAAACACTATCCACCCACCGACCTGGCATGAGAGCACCGGTCCCAAGTCACGCCGACTTCGACGCCGCGAGACGGCGTCGCCCCGCGAGCGGCCTTGGGAAAGCTCGTGGAGCTCGAGCTGCTCAGGGGCAACGCTCGGACGTATCTGAGCGCCGCTGCGCAGCGCACCGCGGGGCAGGCGAACCGGAACCGAAGCGGTTGCGCCACCGGCGAGTTGCATGAGGAGAGGATGCGCAACGAATGCGAGTGGACATGGAAGAACAAAGGGCACTTAGCATGTGGCCGGTATGTTTGGATTCATTTCCTCTTCCAAGATGATACTTTAAGATGTTCTGAGACAACCGAGTGTCAACAGTTTAAGAAAGTCTTTTGCAAATGGTTCTCCTCCTTCAGTGTCCTCCTCAGTTCTGGTGATGCGATTGGGTTCAATTGTAGGTTTCTTCATGTTTCTTCCGAAATTGACTGCATGTGTTGATCCCTCTATGATCCGCTCCCCATTTGGAATCAAAATTAATAAACTTATATAAATTCACAAAATCAGAACTTCTGCGGGGGTGATTCTCAAGATGATGCTCTTCGGGACCGCTGAACAAAGGGTCCCATCCACCCGCGTCGTCGAACGTGGGATTGAAATGCACTCTGAGATTCACTGACATGGAAGTCAAAGGAAGACTACTTTCCTTTCCAACCAGGGGGTCTTTCCACTTCCATGTGAGTGAGTCAGAGGGTACCAGGTCGCTTCCCCCTGCCATGGTCAGGTCTTGAAGGACCTGAGCCTGGCAAAACTGATCATTGACAGTGCAAACAAGCAGCGCAACCAACAGGATTGGAACACAGTCGTTCCGACACCACAGCATCGAACACAATGTGCTGTTCAAGGTGAAATGCGGCTCAGAGAGCCCTAACGAAACAGCACTCGTTCTCCATCTCTCCAAAAAAACATATCAAGCAGGGAGTAAAGAGATTAACATAGCTTTCCTCTTAACCCATCTGTTCCTCATGATTTCCAAGTGGAAGTCGACTCGATAACCCAAGAAAGTCCAATGTTCATCGCCTACATCACCGAAATCCGACCGAAATTCCCTCTCCTTCCTCTTTTGGAGCGGCCACCGCCCTGGTACTTCCCCCCCGCTCTTAGGCATCGGACTCGGTATTCTGATCCACATGGGCCTGCTGGTTTCAACTTGGAGTTCCCGGGTGAAGCCGGGAAAAAAGAACCGATTCCCGATTTGCAGGCGATTTTAGCCAGAAGAATAACAAATCACCTCAAGAAATAACAGGGAAGGATCAACGTTGTGGTTGCACCCTCATGAGCAAGCAACATCTTGAGCACACAGAGAAAACAATGGCGCGCAGACACAGACACACACACACACACACATCATACATGTCAACGGCAGCATGCTGTCTTTTTCTCCAAGGAAACTCGTAACTGGCAGATTGGTGACAATTTTTCTGCTAAGTGCCCATGTTCACCAACACATTTCTGCACTGTATGGTCCCAGTTCTTGTGTAAGTCTCGCGATCAAGCTTTACCCTCGCAAGCAGCAACCAAAACAAGGCCCTGTGATCCAGGTTGTTTCATCGCACCCAACCTTTGTTGCAGTAGAAGTTCTGCACTCATCTGCAGAAACGTTGCGTATATATACACATTCTACATCGTTATATATTATATATAGAAACCACTTCTATATATCCTTGACTGTAAGAATCTGCAAGATCAAGAAGTGATCCCCTCGTCTTGCCATAGACCTTGCTTCCCTTCAACGAGCTACGAGGACTCCCAGCGCACAAAGGACGTTACACGGAGGATCGGAGCGCAGATCGCTGCTGATCACATCGAACAAATGTTTTTCCTGTGCTTTTGGCTGAGTCTATTCGAAGGTTGATGCGCGGAATAAAAGGGCAACCATAGCTATATATTTGATGCTATTTGCTAGCCTCATGGCCTCATGTTTTTCATTGAAGGCTTACCAAACGATTCAAGCAATCGACTGCAGCACAGGTGATCCCACTGCACCTCTGATTCTCACAGGATGTACTTGGAACCCGCCACCACAAGCTGCTTCTGAATGTACTTGTATTCCTTACCATACCACTGAGGCCACATGCTCACTGCCAGTGCTCAAAAGCTTCTCAGTGATCACATCTACTGCAAAAGAAATGTTGGCTTCCTTCGCGCGGCCAAACACCCGAATCTGCTTCCCTCTCGCTTCTTCAGCCAGCCCTTTTGAGGCAATCCACTTGGAACCAGAAAATCTGAAAATATGAAGTGCTTGTGGAGAGTCCAACGCCAAGTACAACGCATCAAACTTGTCGAACTTTACGTTTGAAACCATGAAGCGCCAGCAATCCTGAGACCACAGCAGCCTCGAGTGCTTGCACTCAATTCGCAATCCATCTCTATGCCAGTCATATGACCTGTGCGCTGTTGAGGTGGCAATCTCCGAGCCAGGATGGCAAAGCAAATCTACTTCTTGCACAACGCGCTGACAAAACAAACCACGTGCTGCAGGCATCAGAGAGTTGAAGGGGTGCTGTGCGTAGGCTTCACACTGGAGCTTGAAAGAAACTGACTGAGTGTGGTTCTGCAAAACTTCTGCCACCAAGTCATCGGAAGTCTTGAGGTGGGCAAGGCGCTGCCCCGAATCCTGAAGTTTGTTGAGAAGTGCACCTTCTGCCTCTCTCCAATCGGTCAAGCCTCTTTGACCATAAACAACCAAACGGAGGCCATCGCAAGCTGTTCTCACTCCGCAGGTTGAAAGCCCGCTTTTGCAATCATGTGTGAAGAAGTGCAGCCCAGAGGGACTGTACAGGACCAATATTAACTCATCAAACAAGGAGAGCTTGATTCCGTTGAACTGCGCTCGCCAGGTTTTGTGTGATTCAACCCAACACATTTGACCTGACTTGCACTGAACCTTCCTGCCATCACATAGCCAGTCGTACTCAGCAGTGTTGGCTCCTCGCCTCCTCCCGTCACATCTTTCACCAGGAATCGGATCTTGGATCATGGCATCCGGGCAACGTCTTTCGAAGATACGCCGAGCAACCCATTCAAGAACACAACCCCTTCGTTGTGGGGAAATCTGAGAGAGGGGGCAACCAGCAAATGCAGTTTGAGTCAATGACACCTTCTTCAAATCACCGGCAGCTTTCAAGGAGGACCAAGGGATTGCGCTGACATGGCGCACACATTGATTCCAGAAAACAATGTCAGGTCTGGAACATAGTCCCCTCGACAAACTCATGGGCACGTCGGTGTGCCTTGAGCCAAGTCAGATCTGTGATGTTCAAGAGAAAAGTCACGCACACACAAGCAGCAATGTCTCGGAGCATGTCTGATGATTGGTTTGCACAAAAGATTGGACGTGCAGGGCTATCATTCAATTTAGAGCGCCGTCTGAGGTCTGAGGAGAACTCATGCTTTCACAACAACAGTATCAGAACCGCGTTTCCAAGGATGGACAAAACTTGAAAAAGTACACTACGACGAACATCTCACTATCATCACATGGAAGTGGAAGTCGTAAAGGAACCTTGTCCTCCTTTCGGGACCATGCCATCCACGCAACCAAGTGATGTGTTCCTCAGAGAGTCCACTCATCGAATGGCATAGAATGGTTACTGTAGATCTCAGCCTAGAAGGGTCCTCAGTGTTTCTAAACATCTTGGTGTATCTGGGTGAAGAATCGCGTTAACAACTCCCGCTCTCGTGGTTAGGACACTCTCGTGGCCGCTCCGAATGGCTGGCGACCGACGCCACCGACCAAAGGCGCTCCCTCCAACCAAAGGCGCTAGACGTGGTTGAACAATGGTCTACAGTCTACACATCTCTACACAACAAATGCATTTATAGTATCTTACTTTTGTACCCAAGGGTTTCTCGAAGACCAAGAAAGCATTTGAGAAAACATCTTCACGACCCAAAAAGGTTCATGACCTCAACAGGGTAATTCAGACTCTTAAATCAACCCCCATATAACGTCCAATTCAAATGATGGTGGTTATTTGTCAAAGTCTACAAAACACCACAAAATCCACAATTTTGTTGTCCACACCTTGAGTAGCAGCTTCGTCCTCTTTCTGCTCGAAAAGGACAGCGACTTCATCCTCCTTCTGACATGACCGTTGACGGCTCTCCGAGCCGACCTGACCCCGACCGCCTCAGGTCCACACCACGGAGGCCACATGCTGGCTCCCCAAGCTCAAGAGCTTCTCAGTCATCACCTCCACGGCAACAGAAACATTGGTCGCCTTTGCAGGACCAAAGAGCCCAATCGGCTTGCCACTCGCCGAATCATATTGAAAAATGTGCAATGCACTTGGTGTATCCAGTGCCAAATAAAACATATCAAATGTCCCGGAGCTCAGGGCATGAAAGTTGCACTTCCATCCATTTCCAGACCACGCTAGCCTCGCGGACTTGCATTTGATTTGCAAACCATCTCTGTGCCAGTCTTTTTGTGATTTGGAGACTCCTGAAGCGGAACTCTCTGAGCTAGGATGCCTAAGCAAGTCTACTACTTCTTGCACCACGCGCTGAAACAAAAAGCTACGCGCTGCGGGTGTGAAAGAGTTGAATGGGTGCTGTGCAAAGGCTTCATCTTGGAGCTTCGAAGAAACTGACTGAGCGCGCTGCTGCAAAACTTCAATCACCAAATCATCTGAAGTCTTGAGATGGGCTATGCACTGACCTAACTGCTGTAGTTTGTTGAGAAGTGCACCTTCTGCCTCTCTCCATTCAAGGCCTCTAGGAGCATAATAACCCAAATATGCTCCAGCACAAACTCTCTTGGCAGCACCAGTTGGCAGCCCGCTGCGGCCGTCATGAGTAAAAAAATGCAGCCCGGAAGGACCGTAGAACACCAAAACCAATTCATCAAACAATGAGAGCTTGATATTTTTGAACTGTACCCGCCAGTGTTTGGATGACTCGACCCACACCATTTGAGCTGACTTACACTGTACCCTTCTGCCATTGCGAAGCCAATCATATTCGGCACAGTACAACCCACGTTTGCTGCCATCACACCGCTGTCCCGGAATAGGATCTTTGATTGCGGAATTTGGATACAGTTTTTGAGATACATTTCGAGCCACTGCTGTCAGCATGCCACCCCGAAGTTGCGGTGTGATCGTGCTAAGAGGGCAACCAGCATAGGCAGCAGCAGTGACTGAGGCCTTCCCCACATCTCTAGCAGCTTCCAAGGAAGACAAAGGGATGATGATGGCATTCCGCAGGCCTGGACTCCACCACCAAGCAGCACACAAAACGCATAGTTTCTTTGCTACACGCCAAGTCCACGCCATCAGAAAGCACGGGAGTAGTGCAAGGAGTCTAGGGAAATTGAGCCAGCTACACGTGAAAATCATCTTGTCCATTCAATTTTGTCTCACTCTGTATTAATTACTGGGGAATATCTTCCAAGTCATTTGATCTTGTCAACGGGATTGCACAAACAACGAATCAGCAGGAACGACTGGTTGCTTCGTTGTGCCCGCCGAAGCTCCCACCGGACCCGCTTCGGCAACCCGTCAAAAGTCACGTCGCTTCGAGAGCTTCGGCTGCGTGCGATGAGTCACGCGTCTTTCTCAACAAGAAAGGAGAAAGCTTCGAGAAAGGAGTGGTTTGTAAGGCCGAGAGGGTCCCCCCCAAGGTCTCAATCCAGACGGATTTGGTAGATGAATTCACTCGGTCTGAGTTCAAACATGGGGTTTCCCCCAGGAACCGGAGAAAAGGAACACATGACACACATCTCATCCTTTTTGTTCTGCAAAACCCTAAGTCGAAGGTCTCAAGTTTTTGAGGGGAACATCTGGGCGGCCCAACCAAGGGGAACATCAGGTGGCACAGTGTGAAATTCCATGATACCAACGGGTTAAATAACAAGACGTCGCGTTCGCCTCAAAAGAACAGGACATGGTTTCCTTCAGAGACATGACTGCATGCCACACGTTAGAAAGGAGACTTTAGATTTCCTCCTGCTGGAGCACTGAGAAGCGATACTTTGCCACGTCAACAGAACAAGAACAAGAAGCTTTCAGTTACTAACAATGGTTTCGGAGTAGATGGCACAATCCCCAAAAGGTGCTTACTATGGACGCCTTTTAAACAAAAAACATCTTGGGGTGCCAGCGCCGTCTACTCTGAAACCACTGCACCTGCCATCAGCAGCTTGCTTCTTTTTCTGGCCAAATGACCTGCAGCCGACTTCGAGATATGCTAATTAAACAAAAGGATGCAAAAAAAGAAACATCAAAAACCCAACAAATACACTGCTGGACACGGCTACTCTGGAGTCTCAGTTCGTACCTGGAAAATGGCTACAAGTACCGATACCATCAAGCTTCTATAGGGTCATGTCATCTGTTCGAAGGTACGAACGAAGTCGTGTTCTGGTACTCTGGCCTCCCCAACCACCTCCACACCAGAAACGCATGGCGCTGGCCTTCTCGGCGGACCAGGGCTTGCAGCACCAGGGGAAGAACATGGAGCGCCTGGAGCTGTCTGACCCACTTACTTGGACCCAACTTTGTAACTTAGAACATGGGACATGGACCTATATATTTACCTAGAAGCCAGACATGACCCCTGTTTTGATAGGAACATAGTGTATTTGGGATCCAAAACGGGGGTCAATCAGGTTCTAATACTTGTACTCATTTTCCAAGCTACTTTGAGACTCCATCTGCTTAGGATTTGCTGCCGGGGAAGCCGGCAAAAGAATCTGGGTCGTTAATGCTTGGTGACGTTGGTGACGTCATAATTCGCGCAGATTAACAACATAAAGAAACAACCACATTAGATTCCCCATACCAGCGGATTCACCCCTTTTGGGAAAACACACATTACCCCTTTTTCTACCAAAAAACACGTCTACCACACATATTTGGTCTGGTGTTCTGTCTCGATGCATTGCGAAGAAAACGTGTTCGGTATGTCCACGGGGGAAACCATGTTCAGCCGTTGGAAGAGCGATTATAAGGCCATTTCGAAGAGGGGGTAGCTGAGCGCTTCGCAGAGTACTTTGTTTTGAGATCTTATTCAATGGATGTTCATCATATATCTTTAGTCATCCATATAAATATGGCCTTAGTCCTCCACACGGGTGTTTCCACCACGTCGACCAGGACCCGAAGCCATGTGACCCAAAACCCGACAGGATCCATCGAGCTGAACGAGTTCTTGGACGAGTGCTGACGCCGTGGAACCACGGAGAGGTCTGAAGCGGAAGACTCCCGTGAGGCTGAGGAGAGGTTTGGAAAGAAAGTGAACCTCCACCACCACCCGTGTTCTTGGAAAGGTGGGGTGGTCCGGTGTCCTGTGTCCCCAATGCCACCCTCCCCAGACTGACGGTGAAGGGTCATCCGACGGTGAAGGGTCAGCTGGACCCCATGGACCACATGGCCTCCAACAGTCCCGTCACCATGCTGGGAATCACTGCTATGGGGTGTTGGGTATGGGGTGCCGGGAATCAATGTCTGCAGCACCTCACCAAAGAACACCTTGTTTAGCCTTGGATTTGTGATGATGTAGCTGTCCAGGAACCTGGACAAACCTATGGTGAAACCATATGCCAGGGGATTTAACCATATGGACAATAACAACAACCTGATCCGTAAAACCAGGTTAAGCATGGTTAAGCCAAACCGAGGCACCCGCTCTGTAAACGATATTCACCATATGCCGCCCCGCAACCTATGCCGGCCGGCCCTGGAGGCCCCTGGGGCCGCTGTTAGGACGGACATAGCGCGTGGTTACGTGGAGGGCATGGTCCTGAAAGGAAGACGGAAGCCGTCCATTACGAAACAGGGAGTGAACTCCACTTCCATGTGAGCCGCAGCCAGAGTGTACCGTGTGAGCCAGAGTGTACACCAAAGAAGTCACATCAGCAAAATACCTGAACTTAACCTAATGAGCCATGAATAAGGCGTGGCGCCATGACAGGGAGCTACAAACCAACCCAACAAAATGGATGCATGGTTCACCTACCAAACAAAATCACCAAGGAAACAAACACCTCTTGGTCTTTACATGCCTTTACTATGGCTCCCAAGTTTTTACTGTACCTGAAGACCCCTGATTAGCGAATTCGCTGTTGGGAAAGAACCAACCTCAGGTCAACCACCAGCACTTCAAACGTCTCCCTACGAGCCTGGAAGACTCGAGGCACATGTGACGGCGAAGATCGCTGTGCTCGGCGATGCTTCTGTTTGTCCCACTTGGGCTGGGTCCGGCCGTGCCCGTTGGGGTGGGCCCCAAGTGATCCCTATGCTGGATCTTTAGGTAAAACATGGTAAAACGCTTAATATAGGCTTTTCTGATGCATCTACAACGATTCTGAAGAAGGTCCTTCAATTCAACTTGGGTTCATCTCTTGTAGGTTTGTTGAAGATCTTGCCACTTAGTTACTTGCTGAAGCAAATGGTCGCCTTTTCGAGTCCTTCACGTAACTTTCAATACATATTTGATCAACGATTGCCTGCTAAGGACCATGATGGACAAGCGATCTGCTTAGCAATCCGAATGCAGGTATACACTGTCGAAAGCTCTCTTGAGCCAAGCTGAGGAGATGGGAGAAAAACCGCCTGGAGAGTGAGAGCTAGGTGTCATAGTTCCAAACATTTGGAATATGTTAGACCAGGAAGATGTAGCAGGTGACCCGTCTTGGTAGAAAGACTGAGCTACACATTTGACTGGCGACTGCGAAGATCCTATGCATGATACATATATGAAATGGTATCCCACCTGAGTCTTGCACCAAATCATTGGCAGTTTCTGCATCCTAGTCATAAAAGCTGAACTCCAAAACGAACATCTGCATCCCGAAGATGTCCAATACTCCATCGGATGTCCAAATCCAAGACCTTTCTAGAGAGTACTGTCATCATCCATCTGCAACACCATGTATCCATTTTCAGGTTCCTCGTCCATCCGAAAGTCCCTGGATGAGTCCAACGAAACGCCGATCCTCCACGGCGGAGTTCCCCTTCACGCGAGCAGGTACCTGTGCCAAGAGGGCTCGTGCCGGTGTTTGAAACCCTGGAGCATCCGGATGAGCCCAAACATGACCACTGTTTTTATAGACAAGCAACATTAAAACAACATATTTTGGGTGGTTGGTGGTCCAAAATAGAGGTCACTCAAGCTCTAGGAACATGTTTTAATTTTGCGATGTCAACCTTGTTTCTACAAGACATATATGTTCGATTGCAGTACTTTTTCGACCCACAACCCAATGATCTACTATATGTTTTCATTCGCGCCCCGGTTTTTGCCCACCACATTGACCCTGCATCCAGCTAAACATAGCGCAGCTTAGCAAGTATGGGAAGAGATGGCTCAGAACCCCCAACCGCATCGCCCGATTGGTTCCACCGTGTCTTCTTGCGCTCAGCGGACCGACCCGCGGACGGACGGTCGGCGTGCCTTCCCGGGGTCCTTCTGCGCAGCTAAGAGGAAGAGGAGCAAACAAAGAGGCACTCCAAGTTCGAAGGCCTCAGTGACAAGTGGACGAGTCCGGGGGAAGACGACCGAGCCATTTTGGGATATAGGTGTTTTTCTCCGGAAGACCTCCAGCAACTCACTTGGCTGGTCTCATACTGGTTACTTCTGTTCCACACCGTCCACACTGAACCCAGGAAAATCCGCCGTTCACGGGACGGGACCGGGACGGTCGGGATGGTCGAGGGCGGACCTGCCATATTTGGAGCTCACACACCCAATGTGGACAGGGGCAAAGGGGAAGCCACTGCGCCTGCGCCGAGCCACTACGAGACCTTCGGTCGACTCCAGTGGCTTCAACGAGAGCTGGGGTACCCGAAGCCGAACTGGGTCTCGTGTCGTCGTGCAGGTCGCTATCCCAGACACCACGAATGGGACTGGTACATGTACTCGTACGGGGGCGGTCTACCCGAAAGACTGAGCAGGGTGTCAGTATGCAACAGTGGTACTGCGCTACGCCGTGTTCTTGACATGAACACGAAGGCGGTGAATCAATGAAATGAAATGTACGGGGGCGGTTTCGGGACCAATGTATAGTCATACCCTAAGGATCCGAGTCCGGACCCTCCTTAGGGTCGTGGTCGAACCCTCTAGTTCACAAGGGTTTGGGGCCCCGAACCAAATCCTTGCTTTTCAGGGTGCGGATCCTTAGGGTATAAAATAGAACAATAGGCGGATTTAGGGCCATAAGTGTGGGACTGACTAAAATAGACCCATACATCTATTCCAGTCTCATTGAGTGCTTGGGCTGCTTGGGAGAACACGTACCGGACCGCCAGACCCGCCTCTTGGACCACGAAAAGAACATGAGGTGGAGATCAATCGAGATGCAAAAACCCAACTGGTTCCCTTAACAAATAAGAAGGCCATGTGCAGTCGCTGGTCGCTTTCTCCAGGTTTATATCAACATATTTTGCCCAAGGCAATAATGTCGCATCATAATGAACATAATGGAACGGAATGACGGAATACTGTAATAAAAACAATTTGCAAAATTATTCACACGCTGAATAGTTTACTGGGACGGAGTAAACAACAAAAAATAACCCAGGCTGTTTTTTAAAACTCTTGATTTGTCTGCTGCTGCTACTACTACTACTACTGCTGCTGCTACTACTACTACCAATTATTTGTGTGGCGGTGCTACTTTTCAGACTCCCTCGATTGTTTGCTAGGGGGTCGTTTATGCTATTTATCCCACTCTGGAAGTCACTGGAGAGGGTGCTGGGGAGTCAAACATCGCAAAGAACCTCCAGTTTCTCGATCCATCTTCCGGGCCGGTCCGTGTGTACCTGACGTACCTCGATCTCGCCAAAGTGCTACAGCCAAGTTGGGCGTCAAGGTCCAAGCTGAGGACTGCAACTCCGTGAGGTACCTCAAGGAGGATCCAAACCAGTTGAAGTACTGTTGGAGGATCCAAGCGGGTCTTTGTTTTACCAAACAAAGGTCAAACACAAGGTGCAGCTGTGGTAGGGTCATGTTTTCGGTTTCTCACGTGGTGCACGATGTCTTCCATCCGCTGTTTGTTTTGCCATGTTTTACCCGATAGTGGGTGCGGCTTACCAAAACAGGTGGCGTTTCAAGAGTCGACTAAATTTAAAGTCATTAATATTGGTGAATTGTGGATTGCGGTTTCTGCTGGAACTCACAAAAGCAAGGCCAGAACATTGACTACTGTCTGCATGTTTTGGGATTCACACATTTTTCTTTGCGGAAGTGCAGAAAAAAAAACACGTCAGATCCATGAGTGCTTGCGAGTGTTTGAGTGTGAATAGGATTGAGGTGGTTCTTGAGTAGCACTACAGAGCACTGATCACAACTATCACAACTGATGGTGACCCTTCTTCGGTCCACAATACAAGTAAAAACCCTTACCAAATTAAAAAAACACACGATAGACGTACTACTAATACCAAGAATAAGTACACCATAGTATACCTAGAGTTTAGAGCCCATTTTTGCACCCGTTTGAGAGGAAAAGGTCATATGTTACATAGTTGCATGTTCCTCCAAAACAGGGGTCACTCAGGCTCCAATGTACGGTATATATGTAATGTACGTAGTCCCCGTATTAAGGATCGTGCTCCTGCTCCTCACCTCCGTCGCATCCGTGCGTCGAGGGGCTCAAAGCACGCGATGGAGACCTCGGTGACGAAGGGGGGACAGAGCAGCATGAGGAAGGGATCCGTCGCAAACGAGGAACAACCATGATCCAATAAATTTATCCCGGCAAGAGAACCCAAACAGTGCGTGTGTGTGTGAGGTATGGAGGTGTAGCAGCAGAAGTCTAGAGATCTACCAGAGAGGTGATGGTGGTGATGAAGGTGGAGATCGTGGTCATGGTGGTGGTGGTGGCGGTGGTGGTGGTGATGAGTGTGAGTGAGAGTCAGAGTGAGAGTGAGAGTGAGAGTGAGTGAGGGAGTAGCCAGTGAGTGAGTGGGTGAGTGAGTGAGTGGGTGAGTGAGTGGGCGAGTAAGTGGGTGAGTGAGTGAGTGAGTGAGTGAGTGAGTGGGTGAAAGAGTGAGCCAGGCAAGTACAGGGCCGTTGTGCTAAGAGCTTCCTTGACCAGGGAAAAGTTGGTGCCAAGCTGCTGCAGCTGATTGACCCAGTTGAAGTAGCCCTGAGATTTGGCCTCAGCCAACTTGCTGTTCTGCGTCCTTTGAAGTTTCCCAACAAAGCTTGCGCTGAGCATCGCTTGTGATCCATCTGAGATCGTCGCAAGGAGTTCGGTGTACGTTGCGCTGACTTTCTCAGCTTCTTCTTCGAGGAGTTCTTCACGCGATTTCTTCACGCGAGGTGCTCCTCCAGAGGTTCTGCGCTTTTTGGCCTTGCTCTCACCAGTGGCAGGCTCCAATCTTAAATCCTCATCTTCTTCACTTTCTTCGAGGTGCATTTCCATTGCAGCAGGTGGCGCTGATGCTGCAGAATCTGCATTTCGAAGTAACACCGCTCCAATCCCTTGCACCTGTCACGAAAAGTCGACTTTGGACCAGCAAAACACAAGGTTTCCCTTGCGCCTGCCACGAAAAGTGGCCACCGTGCCCAAAAATGCGCAAGGCACCACAACGAGAGTGCAGTCGCAACGAGCACCCGCCGCGGCCACCCAGATTTTGCGAGCCTGCGCAGTCGAAATGCACTTCGAGGATTTCAAGTCGAGAGGCATGAATGTACTGTAAATAAGCAGTGAACTAGCCGGACCCGACCGCGCAACACCTCGATTAGACACCGTGAGAACCCCTAGTGTGACCACACTGTTTGGGGAGACAATATATTGTTTGGTTAAACGAGGAAGTCATACCAAATTTACATCTTGTGAAAGATTATTGTGTTTAACACGAGTTTTCCTGCCAAGGTATGTAGTACCTTGGGATATTCCCCAGTAACAGTGACCACAACTGGACAGCACAAAACTAGCACCAGAAAATAAGCCCTGCAAGCCTTATCATGTGATCAAAAAAGCTTATACACTCTTAATTGCTTTCCGCCATTCATGTTTTCCTCCAGCAGCCTCCGTGCGCTGCCAATGCACCATCTTAGGTGTCTGATTTAGCATCGGATCTTTCTGGAAAAAGTCCTCCATCAAGGACGGCAAAAAGCAAAGCTGCAATCTTTACACGATTCAGCTACTTCTCCTGGCATGTCTCATTCATCCAGGCTACAGCTGCCTTGATTGGTGGCACGCCGTTTTTCTCGTACGCCTTCTTGAACCTCACAGTCTCAGAGTGAAGAAGCTTGGGAAAGTATAGGGTTTAAAAATTGGAACTCCAGAAATAAGCACCAACTGTTACCCAGCACAATGGAACAGTCAACAAAAAAGGACTTGCTTGAAGCGTTGCCAAGAAGAATCTGTTCAAGCAGCGGCCCTGGCGCGAGGCGTCAGGCTCGGGAGCTTGTGAAGGATCATGTTCACGCAATGCACGGTAGTGGTGTAGATGCGAATGGTTTTCAAATGCCCTTCATGCGTCTTCATGTAGGCAAGATGCGCACCACTTGTGAGATGAGACGCTGCCTTCAGCACTGATCGGATGTGGTTGGTTCCATCGATGATGTGCTCAACATTCCCGCAGAAGTTTGAGGAGTCTTGCGTTAAGCTTGAATTCCAAAAACTTTCCACGGTTGCGCTCACTTGAATCCATCCATTCGACTGTCAACGTGGAGAGAAAAGGGGTCCTTGTTCTAAGCTTGCTCTTCAGCTCTTCTCCAGTTGTTTGCTCTCCAGCTCTTCTCCAGTTGTTCCGGCATTGCGTCAAAGTGGAAAACTTGCTCCACAAATGACAGAGGGGAGCGGCGCAGATTTGAAAACACAGATGATCTCGTCTCAACTGGTCTGTTCTCACTAAATGATCATAAACACGCTCAGATTTTGATTTAGCCCTTGTCCTTCCAGCTCAGACCTTTGACTTGACAGTGTCCCCATTCCAGCTCACACACTGCATCTTACTTTTGCCATGTTCCGTTTCTATTTGTATACCGTAAACTGTAAACTCGTATGTTGAGATGCCCCCCCCCCACGTAGCAGTCCAAACACGTTTGCAAATGTCAAGGGTGAAACCAAAATGAACACCACGAAAATGTATCCAAATCATTTCTGGTCTGTCCACAAGGTGTCCTCCAGTCAAACAAGGATTCATTCATTCTTTTCTTCACCTGAAGCAAAAGGCCCTGAAGTTCAGTGGGTGGGTGGGTTGTTGCTGTGGTGTGGAACCTGTTTGTTTGGACATTGAAGACCTAACCATTGAAGCAAACACTTGTGGCCCCAGTACCTTGGCAACATAATTTCAGACCCCTCTCAAGCACAACTTTGAGCAAACCCTTGCTTGCTTCTCAGCCCCCCCAACATTCCAGAACCCCTGGGGAGCAGGTGCAATGTCCATAGATTGTTTGTGGTTTGTGGAAATTTGGCTGATGGTGTTGTTTGACTTGCTTTGTTATGGATGGTGTGTGGGGATGTTGTAGAGGCAAGACCTGTCGTTTAGCCCACCCTCTTTCCTCCTCTCTCCTTTGTCTCTCTCCCCCTCCTTTTTACAATGCCCAGGTGGGCTAAACAAAGGAGAGAGGGGGAAAGAGGGTGGGCTAAACAACAGGTCCTGCCTCTACAACATCCCCACACACCATCCATAACAAAGCAAGTCAAACAACCCACAAAGCCAAATTTCCACACAAACCCACAAACCACAAACAATCTATGGACATTGCACCTGCTCCTCAAGGGTTCTGGAATGTTGGGGTGGGCTGAGAAGCAAACAAGGGTTTGCTGAAAATTTTGCTTGGGAGAGGTATGCAGTTACGTTGCCAAGGTACTTGGGCCACAAGTGTTTGCTTCAATGGTTAGGTATTCAATGTCCAAACAAACAGGTTCCACACCACAGCAACAACCAAATACCCTTCATCCCACCACCCACTGAACTTCAGGGCCTCTTACTCTAGGTCAAATAGAACTTTTGTATGACACCTGATGGAAAACCCATAAGTGATTTGGAGGCATTTTCCTGGTGCTCATTTTGGTTAGCTGATATGTAGCAAAACAATTTTTGAACTGTTACTGGCGGGGGGAACATCTCAAGTAGTACCCTTTAAACACATGTAAACAACTCAAAAAACAGAATGCAATGGAAAGGGAAAAGGGAACCAATCCATCCAAAAAAACATGGATATCGTTTTGACTCGACATGAAAGCGGTCAAGTTGCACAACAAAGCCAGAAGATGGCCGGGGCCATGCGCTTGGCCTGAAGCCGACGCGACCAAGTGAATCAAATTCCGGTTGGTGAATGAACAAGTTCCAAACCAATACATGTACTAATCAATATTAATTCGATATTTACAATAAAATATAATATCGACCAATATAATTTGGTTGGAGATTTATCTAACCCTAGACTTTTGTTGAGGGCGGAAATAAAAGCAACAATAACTTAACTGTCAATGCCTTCTTTTTACTATATTTGTTGAAATCTGCCTGCTTTCATGTGTTTTCTTTTATTCAGTGTATGTTCACATTTCGCAAGTGCGGAGACACTCCCTGCGTCGCGAAGAAAGAATGATTTGGATCGGCCGTCCAAGCTGCTTGCTAGGTAAGGGGGAGACGTTCGAGATTCATGATGATGCTGAGAGCACCGCCCATCTTGGGGTATCTCATCTAAGCAGGGCCCGGTGCATGATCATGGTCTCGTATGGTTTAGCAAGGCCTTTCTCAAAAGCAGTGATTCTGATAATCTTTTACCGACCGTTGCTGGTAGTGGGCCACACCTTACCATCAACTGTCATGGATGTGGTTCCTGGGTTGACAGCAGCACTTTTGGCCCGCATCAAGGAAATTACATTTTAGAAGGACATATTCCCCAGCCGCATTCTCGTGCTGGCCGCATTCAGGAAATGACTTTTTAGAATCATATAGAATCTTTAGAAGGACATATTCCCCTGCATTTAATCACAAAACCATGATGTGAGCGTGATTTCTTTCCAGAAGGTGGATGCTATGTTGGTTTGGTTGATGGTATGTTAAACATGTTTGACAAGACCATTTCTTCACCGCACTAAACAGCCCTGGCCACTTCAATTGCAAAGTCCAGAGCTGTAAAGTCCTTCAACCAGGCTATACATTGCATGCAATAGGTAGCCAGAGTTCGAAAGGTTTGAGGTGGTGTTGAAGTCCTGGACCATGCTAGTGAAGCACAAAATCCTATTATTCAAAACCTGAACCAACGGCCCTGGACCAGGCGCCCTCTTGTCTTCATCAAACCCAGGCTTCCACACCCTCTTGGCAAAGTGCTCGGCTTCCTGGCAGGAAATTTGCACAGGTAACACCCCAAAGTAGCAGAAATCCACAAACTTCCACAACATCTGACAGGGGATCAGCTTCTAAATCGACAAAAAAACAAGTTTCATCGCTTGAAAAGACACTTGCGTCGACAGTCGACGCTCATGTTTTCTCAGTTGATTGAATGCACGTCCTATTTGCTTCCCCAGACTCCAGACCTTACGTACGTCCATCCCGGACGAATTGTTTGTGCATTGCCCCATGTGACAAAATCCTCCCCGCTTGCGACGTCCAGTTCAACTTCTCAGGTCCTCTAGACGTGGTCGAAACACACAGAACCACTGAAGAATCCCCACTTAGCAGGGCCAAGTTGTCCTTTGCTTAAGTCTCAAAGCAAGAAAACCACTGAATTCAACTGGATGACTGTGGATGAGGCATCCCCTCTAACCCAACACACCCCCAGTGTTTATAGATCAGTCACTCCACACAAACGTCACGACCTATTTGGGGCTTCGGGTCCCTTTTTCGAACCACCACGCGCTTGCTCGAGCGTTGTGCGGGTGAGTCTCGCCCTGCCCGTCGGCTCCTCGGCTCCGCTCCGGCGGACCAGGATCTTCCCCATCTGGCAGCAGGGTGGACCGGACCCGGTCAGGCGGACGTGGCGGACGTCCCGAGATCGATCTGCTGGGCGGTTTGGCGTAGGAGGGTGGTTTTGGCCGGGGTGGGCGGCGGAGAAGGTGGACTGGAAGGAATCGGGCACGAAGCGGAGGGAGAAGAAAGCTGAACTATGTTTCTTGGAGGAAATTGAGGTGAAATTTTCATTTCTCAGAGACCCTGCTCAGGTTTGGGGGAACTCGAGCCAGCCCTGAGGGATCGATAGATACAAAATCACCAAAAAACCAAGAAAAAACACAAGGTGAGAGCCCGCGGACCCAAAAGCAAAAAGAAGCGCGCAACCAGAGAAAAATAGACAAACGCACACTAGCAAGCCAAAACGAAGCATCAGCCCCCTCCAGGCTTCGTGGCAACCATGATATTTCAAGCATCGCGGTCCTGGTGCGCATCCGTCCACCTCCATCTGCCATATACACCCCGTCCACCCCGTGGCAAGTTTTGAAAGCCCTCCAACCCTTGCAACATGGCTTCTAACAACCCTTCCAGGAAACGTGGAGCAGCATCAGCTCCCTCCATGCTTCGTTCCAACCATGAAATTTGAAGCATTGCGGTTCTGGCATGCAACCATCCTGCCGTTTCTCAATGACTTGAGCTGTCTTCGGCATACATTGCACACATTCTGGACACCCAAGAGCGTCATATAGGCCGCGCCACACAGTTCCACTCGCGCAATAACGTTCTTCCGCAAGGCATGGAGTAGCATTAGCCCCCCCATGCTTCGTTCTACTTAGCATCCATCTTCCTTCCAGAGCCCCGTCCACGCCCGTCCACCCTCCCATCTTCATCCATAACCCCGTCCACGAAAATGCTTGCCTCGTCTCGCTCTCGGAGATTCTTTTGGGAAAAGCACGCGCATGTGTACTGCTGTGCCAGCGCTACAGTGCATCACACGCGGTAAAATGCTTTCGGGTCATTCGTCGTCTAATTTTTTGGCACAGATTTCCGGTGGTGTGCATCGTTGGCATGATCAGGGCGTCGATATGGCTGAAATATCCCAGGAGGAGAGGATTTGTCGTTTGTTTTTCTCGAACAAACCTTTGCGGGCTTCGATCTTAAGAACTGCACAGACCCAATAAGAAGAAAACAAGACGGTTCCCTTTTTGGTCGGGTTGGAGGTTGGATGTATTATATATATACACTGCCGCCCACCGATCAACTGGCATATCATCAAGTATAGGCCTGCTGCAAAGAGGAGCCTGGCGAACAAAACAAGCCTTGCAAACAATCATAATTAATAAGTTCACTTCAGCAGGCCGGCGGCGCCGGGCCACGATGCGTTCGACCACACTGATGGACATGGCATTTCCGGTAGCATGCCCAAGGGCACTGGCAGGGAGTCGCGTCTGCTGCATGTCTGCGAAAAGTTTGTCATCTACATCTGTCACGTCTAGCAAGGTCTTCGGGCAAGAATTGAAATCCGACAGCCGAGCCTTGGCACCGAGCGAATTCTTGAACATCTGGCCGTCTGTGTAGCGCTGGGATCCAATATGCGCAGTCTTTCGCGCTGTAATGGTAGGGAAGCTGTCCAATTTCATGTTCAAGTTTGAGCCACCCATGTCAGCAATCACCGCTTGATCTTTGCATTCCAAATCCCAGCCTCTCTTGTCTGCGGTTTTCTTGACCTGATGCAGTGTGTGACAGCAAGCAGTTCCATCTGACACCGTGCCCGGCCTGCTTGAAGTTTCTGCGCCAGGTCTGGCTTGTTGGGTGGGACTCACCGCCACAAATACCCATTTTCAATAAATGTCGCACGGAGACAACATCTAGAGGCTGTAGCCAACCCCAATCGAGGCCACGGCGCCTTGGTAGCAGAAAATCCAACAAGCAGCGGACTGCAAAGCATTTTGAGGCAATGGCATTGGCTGGTCCGTGCGGGCTGCGATGAGGTAGACCCGCTCGCGGCTTTGAGGCAGCCCATGTTCAGCACTGGTGACTACACGCCAAGAAGTGTGATAACCAGCCGATGTCAGAACATCAAGCGCATGCTGCCACAGAGGCTTGAAGTCAGCAGTCCGTGCCAAGTCAGCTACATTTTCTAGCAGCAACAGCCGTGGCTGCATGGCTGTGATCTTGTCCAAACCCTCAAACCAAATTTGGCCCCTCTCGTCATTGCACCCCATACGCTTGCCAGCAGGAGTGTATGCTTGGCAAGGGTAGCCACCCGTGCAGGTGCACATCAATGCCTTTAGCTACTTGTCTCTTGCGGCAGTCGGTCAAAATGTCTTCATCTGAAATTGGCTTGCCCAAAAAGGTACACACCCGCGAGAACAACGCTCTTCACTTGGGTCACATTCTCCGAGGCTACCCCCAAATGCTCCAAGGCTAACCCCCAAATGGGACAACGTTTGCAGAACGCTGCCGTACCCTGCGCAATCTCCGGAAACTCGAACGATGGATGGCTGGCCTGGAGGAAGCCGCTGTCGGTTCTTGCAGCGGTCCATGTTTGGGGAACACAGCAGACGTCAGCTTGAAACTCAATATGCAAAATGAATGAAAAAGGTTTTTTGTGTATGCGATGCCAGCTGATGTGAGCTGCATTGAGCTGCAAAACTGGAGAAACCAAGGCTGCCACCAGAAGAGCTCAAAATACCTGCCGGGCTGTCTTCTATGGAGGGTCTGCTGGACCCCCTCCAACGCACGGCCGGCCCGCTGTATAGGGTACGAAGCAAAGCATCCTAACGGACGGAATATGGCAGCAAAGCTCTGCAAAAAGCATTGAAGAACCTGTCTTTTACAGGGGTCTGCCCAACCCCCTCTATCGGACAGCCGGCCCAGGGCAGGTCAGTCCGTTCGAAAGGGTCGAGCAGATTCCCCGCAACAGACCACAAAAAGAGCTTTTGACTTATATGTCACATATCGTTGGAGCTGGCCTAGCTGCAGCAAATAGTGTGTCCCCCAGTCGCCTTCTGAAACTCACACGGCGAATGAGCATTTCTGGCATTGGAGTCGGGAAACTGTTCCAAATGGCCGATACTCTCACAAACAACAAGCCACCTCCTGCCAACGCACACATCACCCGCGGCGTGACAAGACCAGGCACAGGAGTCGGAGGCGACCTGAAACTTTCGTAGGGAAGCAATTTTCAGATGTCTCCTGCTAGGACTATTTGCTACAACCAATACCACAGCGAACAGTTTTGGTGAGTGCTCCGGAAAGCGTGCCTGACAGCACCAAGTCTTGCAACTCTCAATAATCACTGGCACCTAGAACGTGTGGGAACCGTCACAGCTTGGCCCCAATGCTGGCTGGCCGGGATCAAAGAAGCGAGTGCGAACCTGGGCGTGCATGGACGGTATACGGTTAGAACGCATGAGCTATCACGTGCACATTGCGGTTGAAAACCTCTGCTACACTAACCAAAACAGGAAGACAAACGCTTCATTTATGGTCCAGTTGAATAAGGACATCTTAGCTCGGAGCCTGGTGCTCAGGATGCGAAACATTCCTGCGAAGACGCTGACTGGACTGCTGCTGGAAAGCTATCAACTGAACTATTGGCAATTGGCCTCTTCACTTTGTAGTGCAAGGGCATGGGCGGAGTTCTGCTCGATGCCAGGCCCTGCATAACGCGCAAGACATGAAGATATCTGACTCTGCTTGGCTTGAGTTGATTTGCTTCCGGCGCCTTTCGCAGAATGTGTTGGCACTGCGGCACAAAAAGTTTCCTGAAGGACATGAACAGGTGTTGAAATGAAGGCGTCCGCCAGCCACCCAGGCAAATACTAATCAAGAGACATTCCGGACACCTGTCTGGATCCGCGGCACGGCGGATTGAATGTCAACCAAGGTAGCCCGGACACATGCCACTCAAACTTTCTGTTCCCGCAGCCCTGCCTACCCGTCCTCAAAATTGTTTGAGCGACAAAATTAGGACAGAAGGGCGGAGGGCAGGAGCGCTTAGAATCATAGACTTGTAGAACACAAAGTTTGGTCAATCTCGCTGCTGGAAACGCAATCTACAGCCTCATTGTCATTGAGCTGCGGCTTTTAATTCTCCCGCTCGAATACTGCCTATTGGACTACCCTGCTGACAAAACCAAGACTGCTGACAAACCTATTGGATCTAATGGTCGGCTCATTCAGGCTTGCAAACGAAACGATGCCAAAAAAAACAGTCCCAGATGTGCTGGGTGTTCTCAACAAGGAAGGAGGCAGCCTTGGAAGGTGGATTTGGATCAGCTTCAAGTCAAGTCGGCTTTCAACTGGCTCTTTGCGTAGACCCCCCTATCTTGCTGCTGGCGCCTTTTCGTCTGGCTTGCCGGCCACAATGCAAGAGGCCAAACATACTAAAATCCAACAACACACCCTCTGAGGGCGTGGCCGCTGCACCGCGAATGGCATTGGTGCCTGCGGCCTCACAGTGTCAGGGCGTTGCGCTCCAAAAGCTCAACACTGCGCGCTTCCACATGCTTTCCGCTTGAAAGAAGAAGCGAGCTCTTGCAACGATTCCAAATGCTGCTTCACTTCTGCTGCGATTTCAGAATTGATCCTGGCGAGGTAGGCATCGTTTCGCGTCGATTCGCGCTGCTCATCCAGATCGAGATGCCAAGGCATTGGTCGCCATGATCAGCACGTGGACCGAGACTCCTTCTCAACCATGCCAATCAAAAGTACAAAGTCATGTCCAAAACCCTGACCAGGACCAAACTCCAGAGGAGCCTCTAGTGGGCCGACATGACAAAAGAAATCACAAAGGGGCGATGCATCTTCCAGCACGTAGCGCAAAGGCGTGTGGAGGCCAAGCTCGTGCTCTGCCAGCGTGACCTGCCGAACAGAACTTTGTGGTACAAATTCCCTTTGATTGATTTCCGGCCTCTGTGCCTTTGCCTTTGCTCAAGAAAAAGGAAAGGAAGGCAAATGTAGAGCTTTCATGCACGAGAAGGTCTGCTTCCAAAATATCCTGCTTCTTCAGCAAGTTCTTGCTGATGATGTCATTGACTTTCTATATCCTAGCCGTGTCTTTCAAAGTAACATACAAAGTAAATAGTGAAATGGCCACGCTCCTGGCCCAATGCATCTAACTGAATATAGTGACATGTATCGGTCGAGGCGCAACAGAGGATTGGAAGCAGGGATGGAGAACAATGCCCACGCAGGGGCAGTGTCGGTTTGCTTGTCAGGCTGCTCTGGTGCAGGAACTACCTCTGTCTTGCAAATCAGCACCACATCTTCCAACAATACTTTCAGCGTCTCAGACTCACAGCCCTGCCCACTGAAGAACGCAGGCGGGCGGGATTGCATCTTCCCTCCCCAACCCCGTCCCCACCCATGCGCCTCCTGTCTCGCTTCCCTCCATCTTCCCTCCCAGCCCGTCCCCACCCATGCCTCCCGTCTCGCTCCCCTCCATCTTCCCCCGTCCTCCCCAGCCTCCCCAGCCCCGTCCCCGACCATGCGCCTCCCGTCTCGCTCCCCTCCATCTTCCCCCAGCCCCCCACCCCACGCACGTCCCGTCTCGCTCCCCTCCATCTTCCCAGCCCAGCCCCGTCCTCCCGTCTCGCTCCCCTCCCTCTTCCCTCCCCAGCCCCGTCCCCACCCCACCATGCGCCTCCCGTCTCGCTCCCCCCCACCCATGCGCCTCCCGTCTCGCTCCCCTCCCTTCCTTCCCCTCCCTCTTCCCTTCCCAACCCCGTCCACCTCCACATCCATCTTCCGTCCCCAACAACGCATGCTTTGTCTCGCTCTTCTGCGGCGCTAGCGACTAAACGAGAACCCAAGCATCGAAGATGCTTTTGGGAAAAACAATCCTCGAAAACCACGTCTGAACGTCAGTGATGGTCTTTGTCTTTGGAACACTCGTCTGTGGTTTTTTCAGTCCTCTGGCGCTTGAAGAAACGGGATGGCTATAGATTTTTGACGGACGACTGCGTTCAAACCTCTTCTGGTGGGAAAAACGCAACTTCTTTGGGCGCTGTCGATGGCAGTCGTGTAACGGGAAACCCATGCAGCTCAGCAGTGGGATGTCATCTGGTTTAATGCAGTATTGCCCTTGGAATCATTGTGGTACAGCAAAGTCTTGGACATGAACAGTTCAGTGATAAACAGTGTTTTCTCCGTTTCTCTTCTTCTTGACGAAAAACAACAAAATCCAAACTCATTGCACATCTGCAGCCCGAAATGCAGCGATTTATAAGATTACCTGAAGGACTCACCTTCAAAACTGTTCAGTCTCGACCGAGAATTCCTTTCTGCAGCGCCACGCGGAGAGCCACGTGCCTCGAAGTCTTTGCTGGGTTTGGACTCCAACAGCCTCCGCAGGCGCCGTGCCATGCGGCCCGTCTTGGCCACCTGCTCGGCCACCTGCGGCCCGTCGGTCGCGCAAAACAAGGGCACCCTAAACAGTTGGGAGGAGGAATTGACCTGGAACGCGGAAAAGTTGCAAAAGGTATGGAAAAATATGATTTCATACCGGCAGCATTGTTGGATGGGATGGATTAAGAAGAAGTTTCCAGGCTGATTTGTTCTACTTGAATTATATACTTTGGTTCATATCAATTTGCCGTTAGAACCCGTTCGTGTTTTTTAACAGCAATCATATTGAGTATGAGTCGTATGAGTGACATTCCTAAGGCTGTTGGTGGATTTTTGTTGGCCCGCAAGAGAACCCAAACCGTATGTCTAGAGGTCTAAGGTGCAGAGGTGTAGAAGCAGAAGGTCTAAAGATCTAGACTTATTGGGTTCCAGAGAGAAAAGTAGAGGTGCAAAGATTGAGAGGTTTAGAAGCTCTTGAGACCCATTTAAATGGGTCTTGAGATCCCCAAAAGTCTAGAAGCCAAGAAAGATCTAAATGCTTAGAAACCCAGAGAGATCTAAAGGCCTGGAGGTTTAGATCTGGACTTGAATCCAGATCTAGAGTTGTAGAGTTTTGGAGATCCAGAAGTTTAGAGATCCAGACGTGTAGAGGTTTTGAGACGGTGAGAGAGATCTGGATGTCTGTGTCTGGAGGCCGACAAGGTCGAGATTTTGAGAACCAGGGAGGTCTTGAAATCAGGTGCTATAGAGAATGTAGAAGTCTAGAAATCCAGAGGTCGGTCTTAAGATCTATAGATCTAGAGTGGTGTGGCGGCGTCCATCATCGACCAGTCAATTCTTCAAGACGCGTTCGACTGCAAGCAGCAGCTTCTTTGCACGGGGTCGTGAAGACAATCTGCAAACAGGCCATGGAACCCACGGTGCATCTTGTCCCACTCTGCCTCAACCCAAGCAGGGCCACCAATTGCACGGATTACATGCCGCTTACCAACCGGCAGAAGAACAAGCTGTGAGCGCCGCGCGACGGCTCCGGCGGCTGCCCCCAAGCAGCATGACTGCCAAAAAGAGGGGAACACTCACTGTCACCTGACACTCCCCCTTGATGTGGATGCACATTGCATCCACGAAGACATGCGACCACTGCTCAAGCAAAGAGTCAGTGTCACCATGAACCGCCCAGGCAATCGGGGAGTCGGTGGCCAATCTGGCAGCCGGGTTACCGTCCGTGACGCTTCATCTGCAGCACGCGCCAAGTCAAGGTCCACAAGAGGCTTAAGTGCTGCCCACGCCATGAAACCTGCCCTTCAAGGTCCACAAAATGCTGCGCCTGCTAGGAAATCTGCACATCAAGGTCCAAAAACGCTGTGCCTGCCACAAAACCTGCACATCAATCAAGATTCACAGTGCGCAGCCCTGCCAAGGCGTTTCGCAGCAAGAGCACTTCCAAAGACATCGAGAGACAACATCAAGATAACAAAAGGTCAGGATTCACTGCACCTGCCACGAAAAGCCGGCTTTGGACCACCAAAATCAAAAAGCACAAGGTTTCCCTTGCGCCTGCTACGGCCAGTGACCACCAAGTCCGAAAATGCACGGTACCAAAACGAGAGCGCAGTCGAGGAAAGCACTCGCGCCCAGCAGATTCGGCGGACCTGCGCCGTCGAAATGCACTTCAAAGATCTCGAGGTGAATGCATTGAATGTACGGTAAATAGGAGCGAAATAGCCGGAAGACCCCTAGTACCCCTAGTTTGGCCACAGTGTTACTGTTTGGGGAAGAAAATCCATCGCTGTGATGTGGTTCATAGGTTATATTGAAATGACTTTTGACATATGTTGAAATTGTGTACGCATGGTTTGTGCAGGTTTGTGCAATTGCCAATTGCATAAACGTTTCACCGTTCAATGTCCTTTCGTGAGAAATCAACGGAGGACTCCCACAGGGAAGCGGGACAACATATTAAAGGGGAGTCCATTGGTTTCTGTTCCCGCCGTGATGGGAATGCATTGTTCCATCCGCCGATCGAGTAGGATCTTACTTGTGGGTTCAGCTCTGCTTGAAAAAAGAAACTCTCCCCTGGGAGTCAAAGACTACAAAAAGAATGGTCCGACTAGGGGACCTGAAAGGGAACTTCCTTTACTTCAGCCGGTCAAAATACAGTCGAAGTGGACTTCTAGGGTCTCCATATGCTTGCTCTCTCCTTTCTCACCAACTATAGAGCTTGATGAGAGAAGGTGGTGGTGGTGGTGCTCATGTGGTGCTTGTATTTCTTTTAAAACAATTCCCAGCTCCACAAAGAACTGCCTCCAAAGGGTCGGGGTTCTGCTCTGGGATCAAGCTGTTCTTCACGGTGAATCTTTTCTTGAGTTCTGCAACTGCCCATGTCAAGGCCTCTTCTGTTCCTCCATTTTACTGTAAATCATCCACATTCATCCACATGGCACCAAAAGAGCATCAAAGAGCCAACTTCTTGACGTACCAGAACATCGAAGGCAAACACCGCAAAGATTCCGAAGTCCAACATGTGAAAGCTTGTTCTGACCAGAAGTCACCGTCGCAGCACGCGGTTTTGGCTACTCAAAGGTTCCCACCACCTCTCGAAACGACCTCAGTTGTGCACATGTCACTTCTTATGACCGTGTAGACATGTCGAAACTACTCAGTTCACCACCGATCGACGTCCAGTTCCAACCCCGTCCGTTCCATCGAGAATCGACGCGTGCGGCGCGTCCGCGGGCCGCGCGTCCAAGCAGGAGCGCCCATGTACATCCAGCACGGAGGGGTCCACACCTGCGTTCGAGCGATCGCAGGACAACGGTGATTCCACACAGGTCGGAACGAAGGGCGTTGATGTTGGATGGAACGTTCGTCGTATTCGTCGCAAAGGACAGTAGGCCCCCCTTCAAACTTCATCTGTCAAACGCTTGGAACAGCTTGGAACCCAACACGACAACTCGAGGAAACAAGAACTTGGCAAATCAAACATGGACCCGAGCTCCAAACCAACGGACTCCGACCTCAACGGTTCCGATTCCGTCGGATGCGTTGGAAGTGTCTCTTCAATC